ATTGTCTACTGAATAAAATATAAACTGCTAGCCTTGGGCATTCAAGGACCTTCAGGATCTGGATGCATCCTATCCTTCTAGCGCTGTCTCATCCCTTTCCCTGTCTGCATGGTATGGTGGACAGAGCCCTGGCTGTGGAGTCAAAGAGCCCGGGTTCAAGACCCACCTCTGCCACTTACCTTGATGACCTTGGACAAGGCACTTATCCTCACTGGACCTCAGTTTCCTCAAATATAAAATGAAGGGGTTGGACTAAATGGTCTGCGAAGCCGATCTCAGCTCTAGCTGTATCATGCTGTGCTCTACTCTACATTCCAGCCAAACCACCATGCCCCTTTTGTTTGTGATGCCCCTTGTACCTGGAATGAACTCTTGCTTCTATCTGTTGGAGCTTTCCCTCCCTTTGGAGCCCAAGTCAGGGGCCACCTCCTACATGTAGCCTTTCCTGATCCCCCCTTGCCCTGCCTTACTTCTTCCTCCTTCTCTCTGTCTCTCTCTGTCTCTGTCTTGTCTCTCTCTCTCTCTCCCCTTCTCTTTCTCTCTCTGTCTCTGTCTCTCTCTTTCTCTCTCGTTGAAAATAACCTCAGCAGCTTTAGATTTCTCATAAGATCATGAGACTTGGCCTGGCCTTGTTCTTTGCATTTATTTCTTTCTACCTCGTATTCTTGTACAGGTGTGTACAGGTTTTTCCTCCTCTTCCTGGTCCTATTTGTAGGTTCATCATCCATATTCCTTCCTGTTTATAGTTGTCCCCCCAAGGCTCTCTCCTCTTTTCCCTCAACACTCTCTTAGTGAACTCATCAACTCCAGTTGATTCAGCTGCTATGCTGATGACTCCCAAATCAACATATCTAACCATCATTTCTCTCTTGAACTCCAGTGTTGCATATCTATACCTTTCTGGGAAAGGGCCCCACCAGAATGGAAACTCTTTGAGAGCAGGGTGTACGTCATGACTTGCATGCAGTAGACATTAAATGTCTGTGGAATTTATTTGATGCTAGCCGCCTTTCTTAAATGTCACATGTGGTACTTTGTTTCCCAGGGGTCAAGGGATAGAGCAAGAAAACCACTGGGGAATGAAATTAGAGAAGAAATTTAGAGGGTGGTTGAGAGTAGTAAGCATCAGGTTACATAGGAATAAATGGGAATTGTGGGCGGTAGGGATGAAAACCCATAATTAATGGGCTTTGACAATAGGTCTTGAAGGAGTACACTCCACAGACTTTAAATAACTTAGAGTAGAACGTTACCAAGGAATTGCTCCATTTTCTGTATACTCATCTTGAAGCTTTGCAGGTCTATAAGTGTTTTCCTAATAATAATGATCTAGTTGTGGTCAGAATTAATACTGGCAGAGTATTTAGTTGCAAAGGTTTTCCTTTGGACTATTCTGTCTACCTCAAGCAGGGCTGGCCTCAAAGATCATTCTCTTTTCTCTACACCATCACCCGCCATCATACCCTTGTGAAAAGGTGCTGGTTAGAAACCTCTAGTGGAACTAGTGGATACCAAAGAACTTTTAAGATCCAAAAGGCTTTGTAGCTGAATCCAAGAACATAGGCACTGCCCCTTTTGTTCCTAGGGTGCTCAGTTAAGTCTGACTGATAACTCTGAGACTTCTACGTATTAGTGAACTCATTGGTGGACATACTGCTGCCTCTTCGGGGCCAGATTGCAACCCACGTACATCTCCATTCTGTGTGAACTTTGCCCACATCCTTCCATCAGCCCAGCCTAGAAAGTCTGCCCAACATACTGGAAGCCTTTCTCTTGGTATTTTTTTTAAATAGGTTTTATTGATAGCCTACATTTTTACATTCTGTGCCTTCTCAAGGTCATAATCACAGGCATCAGCTTGTTTCATGTAGGGAAGCAGCATGATGTAGGGGAAGGAGAATGAGATTAAAGAGTAAGAAGAAATTGATCCAAATCTCACCCCTTTAATTTACAAGCTTGACCTCGGGCAAATGTCTCAGAGGCTCAGTTTTCTCATCTAGAAATGGTAGAATAATATTTGTACTAAATATGTCACCGGGTTACCAGGAGGAAAGCATTTTGCAGACCCTTGAAGTATCATAGAAATGTGTTGTTTTAATGGTTTTTACCATTGCTGTTGTTAATGAGTAGTTATCATAATTCTATATGTAATGCTATACAGTGAGACCTGTAGGACCCATTAAGGCACGTAGGCTTATTCAACTTTATACTGGATGGCCCCAGACTGCTGTATTTTTTTAAGTGGTAAATAGCTTTTTATGGTTTTGTTGTTGTTTTTCCCTTTGCTCTCAGCTGTTATTTCTCACTACAGTCTGTGTGTCCGCCCCTCTTCCTTCTTCCAGTTTGCCGGTCCTAGTCTTCCTTGGATACTAGATGACCAGATGATAGAATTGTGTGTAAAGTAAGAGCAGATAAGCTCCGGCGTGGAGCAGAGGGTTAAAATGCTTCGCTTTTAGTGTAGGGGCTTCACGGTCTCTATTTTGGCTGCTCTGAGGCCTTTTTAAATTTGCTTTCCTGTTTTCAGTGGTGTTCCAGATCAGTGAGGTTGCCAGAGAGCCAGATTCACTTCTTTGCTTTGCATCTGTTCTTGTCTATTTTTATTGTGGCTGGATGATTTCCCCCCCTGGAGATAAGAAAAGGTCTGTGAATATGTGAGTGCTCTAGAAACCGATCTTGTGTTCTCCTAGACTAATGACTTAAACAGGGCATCCCAAAAGTCTTAGTGCAGTCTTATGTTTTAATTTGTTGGTATTCAGGTACTTTTCAGTCATGTCCAACTCCTTCTGTGAGCCCATTTTAGGTTTTCTTGGCAAAGATACTGGAGTGGTTTGCCATTTTCTTCTCCGGCTCATTTTATAGACGAGGACGCTGATGCAAACGAAGTTAAGTGACTTGACCAGGATCACACAGCTAGGAAGTATCTGAGGCCAGATTTGAGGAAAATGAGTCTTCCCGACTCCAGGCCCGATGCTCTATCTACCGTGCCACCTAGCAGCCCCTGGGCTTTGATAGTCTTAAGCTATTAAAGCTTAAGACTGTGCCCCAAGACTTTTAGGATGTTGGGTATTACCCTGAGGCTTGCAAAGTATGTGACATACATTATGGCAGTGCCCTGATGACCACTGACACCCAGTTGTGAAGTGACTGTCACGAAGGTGGTAGTCAAGTATCTGATTCTTCAGTCGTGTAGATGTGACCTAATAGAAGTCTCTGTACAGGGTGCTGTGGACAGGAGGTAGGATCTAAGGCTAGAATCACAGAATAGCAGTGTTGGAGGGAGCTTAGCACATAGAGCACAGAATGTCAGAGCTAGAAGGGGCCTCTGAATATAGAATGTTCATATCAGAAAGGACTTTAGAACACTACGTCAGAGCAAGAAGCACCATTAGAACAGAGGTAGTGGCTCAGTGGCCTCCTAATCTTAGTGGGAGCAAGGAAATAAAGGTAGTAACACGTAGTAAATATTGTACTTCGAGAGCTCTGGTTTCATAGGGGTGAGCAGAGAACACAGAATGTTCTCAATAGAAGAGACCTTTGAAGATAGAATGACAGATTTAGAACAGACCTCAGAACACAGAATGTCAGATCTACAAGGCACCCTAGAATATAGAAAATAGAAGGTTAAGAGGTGAAATGGATCTTAAAACACAGAATGTCAGAGCTAGAAGAAATGTTAGAATACAAGCCATAGAATCTTACAGTATCAGGACGGACTTTAGAACATAGAATGCCAAAACTGGAAGGGGCCTTAGAAAACAGAATATCACATATGGAAAGGCCTTTAGAATACAGAACATAAAATGTCTGTAGCTGGAAGGAATATTAGAACATAGAATATCAGAGCTGGAAAAGATCCTTAGAATATTAAAAAATATATAATGTTAGAGATAGAAGGAACATTAGGACTTAGAACACAGAAACTGGAAAGTGCCTTAGAACATAAAATGTTAGTGTCAGGAGGGACCTTAGAACATGGAATGTCAGAACTGGAAGATGGCTTAGAATTTAACATGTTAGTGTTAGAAGAGACTCAAGAACACAGAATATCAGAGACAAAAAGGGCCTTAGAACCTAGAATGTTAATATCAGGAGGGACCTTAGAACATAGAATGTTAATGTTGGGAGGGATCTTAGAACACAGAATGTCAGAGTGAGAAGGGGTCTTAGAACATGAAACATAGAATATAAGAACTAGAAGGGACTCTAGATCAAAGAACTAAAAGGTCTTTTGGAACATGGAACATAAAATATTAGAAATTAGGATAGAAGGGCTTTAGAGAATGAAATGGCAGGAACTAGTAAGGTCCTTAGAACATGGAACTCAGAATGTTAGAGCCAGAAGAGACTCTACAACAAAGAACTGAATGGGCTCTCAGAACGTGGAACATTGAATATGAGAAGTCAGGGCAGGAGGGAACCTTAGAATATGGAATGTCAAGAGCT